TAGAGTCCGAATTAGTCGGAGCCCAATGTTATTATTACCCAATACCTCGGGTGCGTTTTTAAGATCACCCCCAAGTCACTGGTGATCTAAAATCACCGGTGATGCAAAATCACTGGTGATCTTAGATCACCTGGGTTTAGATGAGTGATCGAATCACCCCTCCTAGATAGGTGATCAGGGGATAATCGGATCACCACTCTTTAAAAAAAAAAGGTGTAACCAAATGGGGTGATCTGAGATCACCACCCAAGATCACCAACAGGTGATCCTATCCAAATGGGGTGATATGAGATCACCACCCAAGATCACCACAGGTGACCAAAGATGACCCCTAACCAAACACACCTGTATCAAGAAAATGTTCTCAAGTATCCGTAAATACACATTAGACCCGATTAATACAAAGTCGAACCGAATCAGATTCAACAATGCCTACTTTTTAAAACCAACTGAATCATGTCATATATGTTCTTCCAGAAAGCCCATATTTTATGAACTCTAGCCCAAAAGAAAAGGCTTTTGCTCAGCGTAGCCCAGAGCTGAACTTGCATGATTGATGGATTGAAAACAAAGCCCATGACAAGGAGCAGGCTTTGGTCATGGTCTGGAATTCACTCATTCAGGCATTTGTATTTTGTACTCAAAACAAGCTGCTGAGCTGAGGAGATTTCATTTTGGACTAGAGGTTTCAATTTTTTCTAAAACTGGGGAACTTAATTAGATGCCATTAAACTATGATTTCCATTGGAGAAACAATTTTTTAAAAGAGAAGAGAACCAAAGAAGATTGAACAAGAGTTTCATGAGAGAGAAAGCATAAATTCAGTTTTTGTTCAGGTTATCATTTTTATAGTAATCCTGAGAGGCCATTTATGCAGAAAACAATGAATCAAGAAGGTTGAAGAGAGATGTCTATGACAAGAAATTGGGCTATAACAATCACAATTTGGTAAGATGGGAAAAAATGCCATAGATTAAAACCCCAATTTGGGTAGTAATCTTTCTTCTAATGTGATTCATCTTCTTCTTTTACAAATTGCTTCCTTAACTAATGCTTTCTTTACAGTTTTCTTCCACCAAATAAGCCTCCAGATTGATTTTGAATAAACCCCTTTCCAAAGTAAAAAATTGTTTTCAGAATGAATGATTCATCATTGCACAAGGAACATAAACAGCTTTGTAAACATGACAAGGAAGAAGAAAGATCAAATTGCATGTAAACAGCTTTGTAAATGATGAATCATTTACAAATTCTTTCCAATGAATCAAATAAATTCCAATGAAAGCAATGTAACATATCAAAGATTCAGATTCCTCAGATTAAGAAAGAAATCATATTTAGTAGCTTCGAGATTTCACAGGCGTACAAAAGTGGATTTCGAACAAAAACAAACACCCAAAAAGGAAAAAAGGAACCAAAAATTAGAAATTCCAGAAAGGGTACTATTATCAAGATTCACAGATAAAGAAACACCCTAGAGACAATTCCCAAAAAAAGAAGCCGCCCAAGCCAGATAGAGCCATCGGACATTTAGACGGGGAGATTTACGACGTCGTTGGGGGGAAGGGTATTGGTGCGGGAGGTAACGGAAGAGGACATGGAGGAGCAATTCGTGAACATAAGAGGACGATCGTGGGCTTCGGAATCCTCAGCGTCGTCGGAAGTCGAGAGGTTTATGCAAGAACAACGCTCGAGCGATGCGAAGAAGGCTTGGGCCACGCTTGTTCCCAACCACGACGCCATGTAAGACAAACAGCTGCCTCCTTGATTTTCCATTCTTCTTTCTTTCTTCTTCGCAGAATTATTACAGTAATTTTGCGATTAAAATTTTGCGTCTTAGGTGTTTGATGTTTTGCTTGCTTTGCTTTTTCTTTTTTGGGGGGCCAGTATCTTGAAATTCACAATCACAGCCCTAACCTTAGCTTAAGGAAAAAGCGACGGTCAAAAGCAAAAGATAAATAAGACAAATTTGCCTCTGCCTCTTACACTTTATCTACTTTCTATATAAGTGTAATTGTTTTTGCCTTTTGTTTAGGCTCTTTTTTGGGTAAACTCTCTAATTCCTTAATAATTCCTAATTAGTTTTAGATTTGGTTTGGACTTTGGACTTTGGAGGGCTTAGATAAGTTTGAGAAGATTAAAAAGCCAATTTTCAGTTGAAAATGGGTCAGGCTTGTCACTTTTGGGCTTGGAAAGGGCTGCTTGATCCATGTCTTAATTTGGCTCCAAAATCATCAGCCAGCCTTAGGAGTTAGGACAAGATATCCTACGTGGGCATGCCAGGTCAGATATATGTATGTACCAGCTGAAGTTAGAGCAAATCATCAATGGATAAACTTGCAATGGACTTCAACTGATAGGGAGATAAAGAGAAAGAGAGATAGCAATTATCACACAAAAATGGTGACCCTTTCAACTCCACTCTCCCATAACTCTCTATCCTTAAGACAATTATCAACCAAAGGCAACCGCTGTCCTCTTCATCAACTTCCTTCACCTGTCAGAATCAGCTGTTCTTCTGGTAATTCAAAGTTTCTAATTCTGTTTCTTTTTTTTTTTTTCCTTATTGTGTTCCTCTTTTTTCAATGTTGGAATAATAATGGATCGGGCTAGGGAACTAACGGTGGGTCAAAGAAAATAAACAAGGGAATTCCCATTATGTGGGTAATTTCAGTTCTTGGTGATGTCTTCAACTTTAGTCAAGTTTTGTGCTTATACTGCTGGGTTTTTGTTTCTGAGATAGGTAGCCTTGTTAAATAGTACTAATACTTTGTTACTAAAGTGTTTTTCATGTTTTCTATCCTGGATTCAGCTAGTAAATGTGTTTCCAAGACCGAGGAAAGCTCTTCTCCTTTTAAGGAGCTGAGGGGTGTAGCCTGTGGACTTCTTGCTATATGCACTGTTGCTACTGCCTCACCTGTAATTGCTGCTAATCAGGTTAGAAAATTCACTATATCAACGTCTGTTTAAGCATATTTTTTTATGATTCGTTTGTCCTAAGTTTAGAGCTTGTAGTTTAAGAACTGCATTTGACAAAATAAATATGTTGGATAGCTCCTTTAAAACCTTAGCTATTGATCATCACAAATTAAGGATTCTAGTCAACCATTTGTGATTTATTCATCAGTTGGTGAACTTGGTGCATGCATAGCTGACCTATTTCTTGGCCAGAAAGAATCTGTATAGAAACTTGCCTAATTAATAATTAGTATTATTACTATCAAATTGTTCATCAAAGTTGCCAGAGATACTTTGTCCTGTACAAACTGGCTCGCTTGCTAAGGATCCTCTGGGATTCCAAACAACTATCTGTTGATCTTAGTATTAATAATTACTAATTTTAAGATAACTAAAGGCTTTAAAACTGTAATATATTTGCCATGCAGAGGCTGCCTCCACTATCAACAGAGCCCAACCGATGTGAGCGTGCATTTGTTGGTAACACTATAGGTCAGGCAAATGGTGTATATGATAAGCCACTCGATCTACGCTTCTGCGATTACACTAATGAAAAAAACAACCTGAAGGGGAAGTCTCTTGCAGCAGCACTTATGTCGGATGCTAAGTTTGATGGTGCAGACATGACAGAAGCTGTGATGTCAAAGGCTTATGCTGTGGGAGCTAGCTTCAAGGGTAATCTTCTGTGTCTACTTTCTATTGCCTGCTCTGACCTCCTTACTGCAGATCATTTTTTTCAAACAATGCTGATTGTTGCTTTAGGAGACAACTTGTCTATCATCTGGCTAATTGATTCTTATTTTTGGCCGTAAGGGAGGGAATATGACCATTTAATTCCTTCTATTGGTTTTTAGCAAACCCTGCAATTGGACCATGACAAAAACCTTGACCTCAAGAAAGCTGCTATAATGTGTTGAGAACTAGTTCATAAGATGAATATATATTTGATTACTATAAAGGCCATATATCTCCAAGACCGTGATCATGGTCAGGATATGATCTTAGATCAATTAACATTTAAATGTGATAAAGAATGTCAGTAGTACATTTATCTTTAAGCTAGTTTACCATTTTCCCAGAACATATGGGATTAGTATTGGACTACTGGTATAAGGAGAAAGGCTATGTTGAAATTTTGCAAGTCTTTTTGTTGCTTTGTACTCATTACAAGCCTGTTTCGGACTCCTTACCTCACTATAGCTTCCTTGAATTCTATTGAGCTTTGGAAGGTACTTGTAAATAACAGCAACAGGCCTGTTCTTGTAAAAAACTACTACAGAATAGTTCTTTGCTTCATGAAATGCATTTGATGAAAATTGAGGAATTAGCAAAAGTGACAAAATTACATTAGTTACTCTTTAGATAGCATAAATATTCAAGATCATGGCATAGGTTTTATACTGTAAACAATAACTAAATTAAACGTTTGCAGGCACTAACTTCTCGAACGCTGTTTTGGATCGAGTTAATTTTGGAAATGCCGATCTCCAAGGAGCTGTGTTTAAGAACACGGTATTATCTGGTTCCACTTTTGATAATGCTAAGCTGGAAGATGCAGTCTTTGAAGATACCATTATAGGTTACATTGATCTTCAGAAGCTTTGCACAAATAAAACTATCAGCGAGGAAGGAAGAGTTGAGTTGGGTTGTCGATGACTGCAGCTTATGGTCTTTTTTGTTTATTTTCTGTCTCGTTTACCTACATTAAATAATTATTTTGTTTTAAGGGTTAACATAAATCATGTATGGAGGAGCCAGTTCATAACAAATCATTGTTCTTTATGCATTTGCATAATTTGATGATTGATACTGAGCTACAATTTGTACAGACTTATTTTCGATTAGTGAACCAACACTGATCCTCAGAAAAGGTTGTCTTGTCCACCTTCGATTCAAAACAATAAAATTAGTGCCTATATTTTAATAAGCTATTTTTATCATTTTTGAAGGAAGAAATTGTACAAAGGAAATTTGGGCACTACATTTGCAGATTAACTTTCTTTATGTTACATACCTGTGGTTGGCGTTAAGCTTCCGTCAGAGCGCATCTAGTGTAGTGGTATCATAGTACCCTCCCACGGTACTGACCGGGGTTCGATTCCCCGGATGCGCATTTTTTGCATTTTTAGATTGGGCTTTCATTCACTTTGGGCCTGCAATTTTTGTATTTCATCAGGCGGGCCGGGCCCTAGCCTCTTCAAAGCCTGAATATGTATCATGCTCCTTTTTTTCTTCTTTTTTGTTTTTTAAATTATTATATATATATATATATATTATTATCACTACATTTTGACATATTTCTAATTCCTCTAAAATTACTTAATATATATTTATATAAATAATCATTGAGCTACTGACATTAACATATTATTATTAACATACTCAAGGGAAATGAAAAGAAAAGGCGCTATAGTATTAATGGTTTTTGGCAAGAATGGGTAACAAGGACAACGTTAAATAATGGTAGGTAAGAAGATGTGAAAGCAATTATTCTTTGCCGACATGTACATGTTTTTGGTCAGCCTAGCCTTATGAATTGTAATGATCAAATTGAATATATGTACATTTCATTTTCTTCGCATTAAATTTAAATGCCACTCAATTTAATGAATAATATTAAACAATGAAATGTAAATGTGTGACTAAAAACTTTTAGAAAGAAAAAAGAAAATCTTCCAATGAGACTTGATGACTTGACTCTCGTGAATTAATTTATATGAAATATATATACTATACATCATGGGAATTCAATAGGGTTGTATGATGTGACAACATAACATAGGGTTCAAAAATTTTACTTTGCTATATATAGCAGTACCTTTACAAAAGGTAGGTTTGGCCGTTTGGGGATCTAACATACGGTTCTCTTTAGGTGACTCCTCTATTTGGGAGTACCAATATATATGTTAATAGATTCAGTAAATGAGATAAATTTCCAAATGGGAATTATGTGTAATTGCCGAAAGATGGTAGGTGCAATTGCAACTTGCTAGGCAGGGAGGCAGGCACCCACATTTCATGAACGTCTGCTCTTTTGTATTTCACACATGTATACTTCAGCCTATTGATAGAGATTGAAGACTCGAATCAGATATCTTCCAACAGAAATCTTAAATTCTCACCAACCTAAGTCATTAACTACTTTGGGGATTTACAGATTCATTGGACTGACAATTTTGATATGTGAAGGCTCGAATCCGGGTGCCTTCCACCATAAATCCAAGCATTTACCACTTTGGCTAACTTGTTTAGTGACTTGATTAATATTCAACCAAGTGCTTAATATTCCGGACTTCAAACTTCGGTTTGCTCCATTCCTGAATCCTGAGTGTAGCCTAAGGTCAAAGAGGCAGCAACCCATGTACTCTCCAGTCTTGACCTTCTCGTTTGACCAAGAGGGGAGACATGTACTTTGAATCCACATATTGAATTACAGCTTCACCAGACCAAACTGATCACATACTGCTGTAAACTTCCATTAATTTTATAAATATTTCTGATACCTGCAGGCGCTGCACCACTGTTGGATGCTGACCTCACATGAAAAACACAATCATAATGCACAAAGAAAATTAACTTAATTAAAAGAAAATAGATGCATTACTTTCCTAACTTGACATAAGAAAAGTATGCTATATAGTGAATTCTTGTGGTATAATTATTAAAGATGGGATTTGAATCCTAAAATGATACTAAAAGAGTTTGTCATCTTATAAAACCCTTTTTTCCCTCTTATAATTGACTGATGGTGGTTAGGTTGTTGAGTGTTTATGAAATTTTTGAACTGCCATTCTTTCAGCAACTACAATTCCTTTCCATTTAGACCCTTTAAACTGACTGTCAAATCTCCAACTATATATTTTTCCTGCAGCATTAGATATATAGCAGGCTCAGCTGGCCTTTACATTTACCTCTGGCAACTAATTATCTACCAATTTCCCAAACTGTCCTTTGAAAAAATTAAACAAACGGTCTTGAATTTCATTGGATATAATAAGGTAGTATCAAAACAAGTATACTGCTATGAAAACAACTAACAAGCAATGTTTTTACCTTGACAGAGGCATTTTGGGTAATTCAGCAATGTGTACTATTTTTTCCTTCATGCTGGACCTTCTATTTATAACAATGGACCTAGAATCTAAGGGACTCATAAGTTTTGGATATGATTCAGAGAAATGGAGAGAAAGGTAAGGAAGAGGAAACTATTGCAGTGACCCTTTTTTTTCCTCTTTGTAATGTTTCTTGCTCAAATGAGTATTCCAATCACAGTTGCATTTGGATGTATATCAGTTCAATATATATGTATTGGGCTGATGATGCTTCTGTTTCTGAGATGCTCATTTGAGCAAGCAATGTTATAAAACTGGAAGTTTTTTTTTCCCCTCCAAGGAACAATGCCATGAAAAATGAGGTATCATCAGGTAATCTCTCAGACTACTTTGTACAACTGTGAAAACAGATTTCAGATGCTGCTAATCTGTTTGCAGAGGAATTTATTGTTAATTTTTGGTTCTAATTGTCATCAAAAAGTTGCTATATATATTTAGGTAAACAAGAACCCCAGTTCTTGCATATCTTAATTAGTACTTTAACAGTAGCCTGCTCTTGGGATCCCTCACTAAATTTTTCTGTTTTTGTAGCTAGAGGGTTGTTTTAGGTTTCATATTCTTTTATTGGAGTTGGAATTAATGTTCATCAAAAGCTCACCATGCAAGGAAGGCTGAAGAAAAAAAAATGAAAACTTCCATTCTTGCTGCTAATCATTTGCTTGCTTTCTTTTTTTGTCTTTTACCTATTTTTTGTGTTTAAACTGTAAAGTGACCTTATTTTCTATTGAACTTGCAAAGCTCTGATCTTTGATTGGAGGATGTTACATATATTAATGAAGCATTTGCAATCATTAGTAGTATTCTTTTAGTGCCATCTGAAATTTCTATGTATTAGTTACTGTCAAATAACAGTAATACTCAAACTTTTTTGGAGTTGATAATTGCCAATTACTATTGCAACTAATAATCAAAGATGTTTTTCATTTTTTAATGTATAGCCTCATGTGAGTGATTACAGTATGCATTTGGCTATTTTGATATAGACAAATTAGAAAATCTTGCAGAGAATGGGAAGAAAAAGAAACAGAGCTTTGTACTTGAGATTATATTTTTTTCCCTTCCCTATGATTCTAGCCTTTCATTTATCTAAGGTCTTGGGTTAAAGTAATGAATAAAGCTTCGGCAACCAATACAAAAAGACGACAATGGCGACACATCCATGATCCAACTGCCATTCTATACCTACTACTACTAGCCAGTACTATAGTTTTGTTGAACTACTTGTTTGATTCAGCAGCCGAATTTGGAATTATTACAATCAAAATAATTTTGTCGAACTATTTGTTTGATTAAGAGCTAAATTTACCCATACTTTATACTGTTGTTTGTGAAAATGTTTTTGGACCTGTTTGAGTGTGACCATGAATAAAAAAGGATATCAGATTCTTCTAATTTAAGCTAATAATGGCTGAACTTTTTAGAATACCTTGTTTAGCAATGGAAGAAAAGATTATATTCCCCTGCATGACTGCAGGAACTAAAGTAAGAGATCTGGCAAGTTCAGTTTTCTTGTCTCAATCACACTTTTACTTCAATATATCCCAAACTGATCCACTACACAAAGCATTGTTCACATCCTTTGATTGGTTCATGCTTGGTTACAAGAACGAAAATTCCTTAAAAAAGGGAGAAATGATGAAACAGAATCAGAGAAAAAGATAGATATAATCCAAAGTTACATCTAAAAGTAGGCACAAACAATAAAGGTTCTTGCAAACATGAGCATCCAAACCTCCCCCATTCTCAAAGAAAAGCATCTCAAATTCCACTTCTTGACCCATAGTTCCCCTGCTTCCAATGCATAATTCAGCAACTTCTCGAACAATAACTCAACATAGCTTTGAACCAAAAAAAAAAAACTCAACATAGCAATGGCAACAGGATTCATCTCTATGTTTTCTTCAATATTGGTCACATTAATCTTGTTTTGTCTGGCATCATCAATGCTTTTTCGAGGTATGGAAACTATGATGTATTCCACATCCAAAAAATTTTGGGGCAATATTGTTTTTTTTTCTTTTGTTACCCCATCCGGTGTCCAGAGCTTTGCTCTAAATAATATGGGTATGTTTATAACTAATTTGTGCTTCTTATATTTAGGAGTCGGAGGGACGATCGGGGTTAACTATGGCACGGTGGCAAACAACCTTCCACCACCAGCTGAAGTGGCACATTTTCTTTTAGAGTCCACTGTCATCAACCGTGTTAGGCTGTTTGATGCAAATCCTGACATTCTAAAAGCCTTTGCCCATACCGGCATTGCTGTCACAGTAACCGTTCCTAATGATCAAATCCCTCGCCTTACTAAGCTCAATTTTGCTCAACAATGGGTGGAAGACAATATCCAACCCCACACACCAGCCACTAACATAGTCAGAATTTTAGTAGGCAATGAAGTAATATCAACAGCAAATAAATTGTTAATAGGAAGTCTTGTTCCCGCCATGCAAACCCTCCACACAGCCCTTGTTGCAGCTTCATTAGACCGTAGAATCCAAGTCTCCACGCCTCATTCATTAGGGATTCTTTCAAATTCAAGCCCCCCATCCACCGGAAAATTCCGACAAGGATACGACACTCATGTTTTAAAGCCATTGCTTAGCTTCCTTAGAGCTACCAATTCACCATTTATGGTAAACCCATATCCATTTTTCGGTTGTTCACCTGAAACCCTTGATTATGCCCTGTTTAGGCCTAATGCTGGAGTGTTCGACGAAATTACAGAGTTGCTTTACACAAACATGTTAGATGCTCAATTAGATGCGGTGTTTTCCGCCATGAAATTCCTAGGGTTCGATGATCTTGAGATTGTTATAGCCGAAACCGGCTGGCCATCAATGGGGGATTCAGCCCAAGTTGGCGTTGATGCGAAAAGTGCAGCTGAATACAATGGCAATCTCATGCGGCACGTGACATCCGGCGCCGGCACACCGTTAATGCGAAACCGGACGTTCGAGACATACATTTTCGCGCTTTTCAACGAAAACCTTAAGCCCGGCCC